CTTCCAATAAGTTCATTTGAACCAAATTCATGACCCCATACAGAGCTGCCAACCTCTGAAACCAAAATCAGTAATCTGAAAGCTAAAAATCAGTAATTTTGGATGGAAATCAGTAATTTCAAGCGCGGCGCTTTCAACATCAAGAAGACTGCATTTGCACGTACATTGTAGAGCTGCACACAACACCACAACACAAACTACTAGTACCATGGTAATAGCATCACTCTGAATGACAGGACTTGAAGTAAAAACAAGAACATTCTGTTTATAACATCATTTTAAGTGCTATAAAAAAAACAATGGTTATTAGAGGATTGATGTATCATTACCCTGTTTCAGGGAAGGCATTTTTGACAAGTTGTGAAAGGTGGTCTGCTGCTGAAAACGCGATGTTGTGCTCTATCAAAAATTGAGTAAACTTCACTTCGGCGTTCGTGACAGAATTGTCCTTTGCGACGAAAAACTGGGCGATGTCATGACTGCGGGAATTGGAACTTGCCTCCACCGCTGCAGTCCGGTGCTTCACCGACTTCAGATGTACCTGGATATCGTTCGAACCGCCATGACCAATTCCAAAATCGGATGAGCAATGTGTACAACAGGCACTGTTTGTATTCCTTTTCGACGGAACAATGCATGACCATTTCTTGGTGTAATCACCTGAGAAGGTTTGCAGTTTTTTAGAACGCTTCTTCGATGAAGTTGAAGTCATTTTTCTCCGTCGGTTACTCGAAGTTTGACGCGACCACGGCCGACCTGCTGCACATGCGGTAGTGTAACACTCGGCCAATGCATATTTCGCCCAGATAAATATCGTGCCACTTGTTTCAGCACATCCACCATGCATGCGCTTTCGTATCGGTCAAAACTTTGTGTGTCAGCTCATTCAAAATTTATTTGTGTATCATATTTTGTTATCAACAATGAAAAGGGGTATATGAATAAAATGAAATGAATAAACATGATCCAACAAATAATGTGAAATAAAACACAATGACAATAATTGTTGAATATAAATTCAAGTTTAATCAAGGAAGTACATTCATTTTCCTTATGACAATTATCATCATCATCATCATCATCATCATCATCATCATCATCATCATCATCTTCATCATTAGTCGAGTCGTACTTTTATTATCATAACAATGAGAACCCATCACTAAGGGGAAAAAAATTGTAGACCTGCTATAAACTACACATGGACATGGTACCGTACGGGTTGGTTTGCAAGGTGGCTAAATGGACTTGGGACGAGTTTGCCGTCTCCCCGATATATATTGCATGCTGAAAGCTAGCACACGCAGCCCATATAAGCAGGGCGGTGTGCATATCTTTCGATGGTAGCTACATGTGTGTGCAGTGGTCGTGGCTGAGGCGCGGATGATATTTCTGTGCGCTCAAAAGTTAACCACCGGGCCGAGGCCCGGGAAGTATCGCGATCATTACCGCTAAAACACTCGCATATGCATAATGCATGTGTTAATACATAGGCATGTCCAGAAATCGGGGAATCCGTAATTTTTGAAGGGGTTTCCGTGCTTCCGTAATTGCCGTTGATTTCCGTACCAATTACGGAAAATCCGTACTAGTTGGCAGCTCTGCCCATACCAAAACTTTGTATTACCTTTAATAGCCTTTTGGTCTATCTATCAACTATTATTCAGACATGTTTTCATAAAAGATTAAGAAAAACATGTAGGTGTACATTGTGTAAATTTTGAGCACATTAAATAACAATAGGGTATATTTCAAAAGGGTTGGGTGTAATATTATACAGTGATGATCGCAAATAACTAATGACTAATGCTTCAAGTTCTCTATTTATAGGTCCCTGTGAATGAATACTATTATCATTATAATAATAATAATAATAATAATAATGGGTTCTTGTATATTGCTCATGTCAGTCGGATTTTACCCTCCTGGCGCTCCCGATTATTACCCTGGCTTTAGCATGGCTGCCATACAGCGCTCTAGCATTTCAAGGAATAAATTCCTACCAGGTACCCATTTACTTCACCTGGGTAGAGTGTGGCAAATGTATATCAATGTAGATCAAGGACATTAGTGCTGAGGCGGGACTCGAACCGCAGACCTTGTGATCAACAGTCTGGCGACGTATCCACTCGACCACAACACCTATACATCTTAAAATCTTACTGTACATGTACTCGCCCTGGGTTGAGACAGACAAAAGCTCAAACACTCTTAACAAACCCTTTCTTCTGCGAAACTCCAAATGACAATAAATCAGATTTGATTGTTAATCTCTTTATCAGCCTGTTGAATAAACGCCTAACAGTTCTTTTCACGAATGCATTTACACTCTAATGTTCATTATGCTCTGATGACTCTCAGTCTCATTCCATCAACAGCAGCTGCCTATGCCCTATAAATGGGACTGATCAACAGACCTGGGCAGCATTTTACATTGAAATGTGTGTATTAAATTTACATGTGTCTCAATGGTTTATCGCACCTATTTTTGTTGTATAAAAATGTAATCATGAAGGAATTAACATACATCTATAGCTACAGGTAATCTACTTTAATGCAAGGCATTAAATGAAAATCTGCAATTTTTACAAAGCCAATTCATTTACAAATTCAAAATTATGGTTTACAAAAGATGAATTTCAAGATTTTGTATCTAGTGTTTTGTTAACATGTACATGTACTTGTACGGTCCACTAAGTACATGTATGGATACTGGATAGATTAAAAAAATTGATACAATAATCTAAACCTGTAAGTTGGGGCTTTGGTCGGATCGGAAGATCGGAGCGACACCCTCGCACCTGTAATCGGTATCGGGCCGCCATCTTGGATTATAATGCATCATGACTTTATAATCCAAGATGGTGGCCTGCATGTTTTGCCTCTTTTCTTGGACCAATGTTATTAATTTCAAAGTCATGAAAAGGCATTAAATATCAACAAACATGGTCTACAACAACTCCAAATGACAAAACAATCCCAGCTATGAATTTTTTAAAGGCATTTGATAGCCCAAACTTGAGAATTTTCGGCATGTAATTTTTTTTTATTGATCGGCGATCAGAAAATATTACCCGATATCACCTGATCGGCTCAAGATTGGCCCCCGATCCGATGATCGGTTACAGGCCTACAATAATCCCTGTGCATATGAACATGCACATGCATTGTACATGTATGTATGTGACTGTGTACATACATTATCCCAAGCCTAGAGGAAACCAGGATATACATTATGACAGATGCACGTACACGTATGTACATGTAGGCCTAATGTCATGTCATGCTGTGTCCCAGTTAAATTCCATTTTAGGTACATGTGTGTTTAGAGACCTGGGAATTGTTTGCGGTTTTGGGTGGAAATCATAACATCCTAATCGCAACAAAATGCTACATTAGAGTAAGATCATTATAGACCATTAACCCATCTCTGCTTTTACGTTCGGGGCGTTTATTAAACAAACAAGTAAATGAAAATAATGAGTTCAAGGATTGAACACTCAGGACTACAAGTACATGTGAGTGTTCCAAATGCCCAATTAACTACCAGTAAATGTAAAAGCAATAAAACTGAAAATAGCTGAACAGTGATTTATTGTTCTTATTTTTCTTTTTTTCTTCCAGGGATATGAAATATCATGAACATGAGTACTTGAACTTTCAGCCTGTATGTATGTATACATGGAAATTAAATACGCCCATTTCAAATGAAAACAATCATTCAAATTTCATGCACAGTTGTACTTCAACAAAGTTGCTCTTAAGACCTGAAAAGTGCTAGGTTCATGTACATGTTCAGTAAGAGCACTTGCAAGTCAATTCAAATCAATTAAAAGTAATATAAGTTTTCTTCCAATCATTTTTTTTTTCTTCTGTTTTCCTTGTAAATTTTACAAAGCAGGGTTATAAAAAGTTTTGATAGCAAAATGTATCTCTTGCAAGTGCGAGAGCCGCGAGTGTTCAATTTTTTTACACATGTGACCATCCTACAACTGTTTAGTTACAAAATATAAATCTAAAGGCAATAAAACATTCATTTTTTAAATACGCAAATAAATTTGATTCAATAAATCTAAAGTGGATAGGCCGACACAAAGCTTCAACACAACACAGAGGACTACAATATACAATGTACATGTATATTTATAATACAAACAATGCAACCACAACAGACTGTTGCCAGCAACAAATTATTGCTTGTAAAGTCTATTTTTACACATTGTCTCGCTTCCTATTGTCTAAAAACCACATCAGGAACACCCTTAAATCAATTGTCAATCTGACCTTGACCTCCAAGTCCAGCTGTAGGCCGAAATGATTATACTTGGTCTGAAACGCTTGAACTATAAACGTTGTTCATTATTCTGCTGTTTACATTGTGGTAATAGAGTGGGCATCTAATTCAATGATGTATCCTTTAGGTATTGTTGTTCTTTGTCTACTGACGTCAATTTCGGAGTAAGTCATTGTCATGGAATGCAATCAAGCCAATGTCGGACAGGTGGTACATGTATGATTAAATAGGTGTATGTGCTTCACTTGGACACAGGATTCTTGACATCAAGTATTTACATTAGGTTCGTAGTACACAATGTACTGTATACAGATACAAGATACTGCATCTACTGGATGTACAGGGTGTATGGGGGATGCTTGCTATTATATAAGGACCGCTATTCATAAAGAATTGCTATTAATTTTGTATTGCGTTATAGATAGTGGTCCTTATGAATGGGGGTCCTTCTCAATAGCGAGGTAAATTGTCTATGGTTTGCTTACTATTAATAAGGGCCGCTATTCATAAAGGATCGCTATTCATTTTGTCACACGTTATGGATAACGGTCCTTTTGAATAGCGGTCCTTATGGATAGCGAGCTTGACCCGTTATGAACATGAACACTTACAGTGCAATTCATAAGATAGTTTAAAATGGTTGTACCTAAAGAACCACTGAATTTTTGCATGAAATTTAAGATATTGAATTTCCATTGATACTTACACTGGTTATGCCACTCTCTCCAAATGGCATTGTTGAGTCGAATCTTGTCCTTCCAAGTCAATTTCAGTCCTTTAAAAGTCTTCCATTTTGGTGACACTATGACGCATCTAAAAATTAAAATTAAGAAATTTTGATTAAAAATAATTACAGCATATTTTACAATCAGGGAGCTCCTTTTTAAAATACATTTTTATGAGCTACAATTTGATGATCAGTACCAGTATAATGAAAATGTATCGCAATATGCTCTACATAAATAATGTACATGTAGGTAAAATGTATTATAGACTTTGCCATTGATACATGTATTACAGAAACCTGTACACAAGGACCACATGCCTACATATTAAGACCACTTTTGAAATCTCCTTTGAGCAGTCTTTATAGTCAGGTTTCACTGTACAAGTACATCATACGCCTATAGTGTATGCCTACATGTACATACACTAAGTACACTTTATTTAGTACACAGGTCAACACCTGTCAAGTGTTGTGACTGTCAACTGTATTATCCTAGAGTTACTCCAGGTGTTTATGATTGGAAGAAAGGTATCATGTTCCTGTGCATACAGTCATCTAATCTGACCAAGTCCAAAACACAGCTGACCTTCAATCCAGTTGACCTACTCGTGAGGTCATAATACTGTTGGTAAACATGGATATTTTACACTAGAGTCTATGCTTGCAGACTAGGCCCACATAGTATGGCTGCAGAGGGGGAGTGGTCAGTGGGAGGCTGGGGGCTGGCACATCCTTGTTATTTCTTTTATGTACCATGTTTCGTTCGTAGAAAATCTACGAACCCCCTGTAAAGCTCTTTCATGAATATTTATGTAGCATGGTCCAAAATAGGCCAATGAGCAATGGGGAACCCGGAGATGATATTTGATTGGTTGAATCAAAGTGATCGATCACCAAATAAGGCTAATCTTAAGAATCATGCATGAGAATACGCTTGTCACACATACGATAATGATGAGTTGACCAGTGATGATAGGCGCTCGGGCTGGCGCCCGCGCCGATGTCAGTCTCCCAAACGTGATTAGTACACTTGCCATTTAGCCCGACGCCTATCGGATAGGCTACAGGGTACACTGTTCAAATCCCTGCCACAACACAAGATCAATTGGCAAGACCATGGAGATAAGAAGAGATAATGCCAATGCAATGGGTACCTGGCTGGAATTAGAGCGCCATAATGGGAGCAAATATTTGTGGAGCAAGAAAAAGATACAAGAACCCATCATTACAAGCAGATTGATGCAACAAGATGACCCATGGATAAACAATTTGGAATTTATTGCTAACTTTGAGCACCTCTTCATATTCTGCGCTCAGGATTGCCAAAATAGACAAAAGACAAAAAACTATGTAGCATGTACATTGCATCTTGCTCCGTGTATCACTAAATGTTGAGTTACCAAATCATTCAAAGATCATCAAATTTGTAAACACATCAAGTCTTGCAATCAAGCAATTGATCTTTATAGTTCTACATTATTTAATTGGCCTGTATTAAGGCTCGTTCACAAAAAACACTGTATGACATAGTAAACCACAGCAGTTTATACTGTATACATCTATAATAGTAATACGCTAAGGCTCCGCGGGGGGCGCGACGTCTCCGCCGGCCTTTGTATTCTATTGTTTTTTAATGAGATCGCCGACCGAAGTTGGTGCGGCTATCTCCTCCTGAACCCTGCCCTCGGGGTACCCGTGCCCGGTGCCGTCGTGCGCGGGAGAGTCTACTCTAGCGAATTGGCTATACTCCGCCCGAGGTCCTCCTCCGTGTCGACGTCCAGGGCGAAAACAGACGCGATATGCATAATGCAGGATATGCGTGACGACAGAGATACCTCATGGATATTCAACATGACATCCGTAGACACACGACCGATGACTGTCCACTCACATTAAGTTGCGTATTAAATGCACGACGCACAGGGTCGGGCTTACCCGAGTAAAGCATCTTTCTATAGGATATCCATTGTATAGTAGCTGCACGAGCCACAGAGATACACACGAAGCTTCCCGTCCACGTCCAAACTTAGGGACCTATTTCCATCATTATTGCCGCGATTTTTATATAGGTGTCGTGAATGGAGGTATGAAATGAAAGCTTATTTTGTGATTATTACGGCCATGCTACTAAATTTTGATTATCATTTTCTAAAGGAAAGTTTTCACAAGAAAACCATTGGACTGACAGTTCGGTCGCAAGCTGCCTTTAGTCAACACACACTGTGCAGTGTGTGTGAGTTGAAATGAGCTTGCAGGAAGCTCCACACCAGGACCGCGCACCGCAGGCGTCCGACGCCTGCGGCGCAGGTGTTGAGCTCCCTGGAGTTACGCTGTGCAGTGTGTGTGAGTTCAGCAGAGCTGCATGAGCTTGAGTCGAAGAGATTTGACACTTTGAAATTTTTATCTGTTAGTTTGCATCATTATTGCCGCGATTTCAATATAGTTTCGTGAATAGATTTACGAAACCTGATCTTAGAATTAGTAAAAGTATTACTAATGTTTACGTTTTTAAACGACTGTCTGATTTTCTTGTGAAAATTTTACTTTGAAAAATGATTATCGAAATTCATGGTCAGAAATAATCACAATCTAGGGTCTATTATGTTACAGTTCTTTCATCAAATCAATGCATGAAAACTTACTTATTGAACTAAAAAAATGTTGTTTTTTTTTAAATAGGCAATTATGAAGTATAGGAAGCCTGAAACCTTAGCCTACTAAACAAATCTCAACAAAGTGTAGGCCTATCCTTTTATGAATTAATGAAAAAGTAGCCCCCGAAAAAAGAGCCCCCGAAAGTTGGAAAAAGTAGTCCCCGAAAATTTCCCAAAAATTTGAAATGGAGCCCCCAAAATGAAAAACTTAATTTTTTTGCCTGCGCCCCCCTCTAGAATCCCTCGGGATTTCCGCGGGTCCTGAGTTGAGTGTATATATAATATAAGCGTGGGGTCCACGGGTTTCAAGGGGCCATAAACCCCCAAAAGCTCGGGGGTTACGTTCTTCAAAGTTGGGGGGGGGGGTGGGAGATCGAGATCAGATCGCAGCGAGTTGAGTGTATATATAATATAGGCGTGGGGTCCACGGGTTTCAAGGGTCCATAAACCCCCGAAAGCTCGGGGGGTTTAGGTGTTTAATTAGGGTCAGATGAGCATATTTTTAATACTTTATTTGTGACACTTGCGGGTCACTAATTGGCGTGGGGTCAATACGTAGAGTTGCGTAGTGTTGCGTACAAACTACGCTGGCCTACGTTACTATATGCTGAGGAACGAAAAGGGGTACGCAAGATGAAAGAAAACAATTCAACATGTTTAATTTTTTTCGCGTACTTTCGGCGTAGAAACTTGACGCAGAAAGCAGCCTTTTTACGCAACACTACGCTACATGCCTACGCAACAGTACGCTACCCTACGCCAGATCGACAAAGCAGTAAAAGCTTTCCACACAGTAAGCAACCATAAGCAAACCTGTACGCCAGCCTACACATAACCTACGCAGGGACTATTTTCCCATTAATACGCAGCCTAATTTCTGCGTAGTCGGTACGCCACACTACGGAACTCTACGCAGTTCCAGTGGCTTAAAGAATAATTACCGGTACAGTTGGATCGTTTTTTAAATTTTTATATAAGGCCAAATTAAAAAAAAAACATTTTTAGCATCCTGTTTTTTCGAAAAATGGGAAGGAGGAGGCCCTTTTTTTTTTTCTTTCAAAATGGCCGCTCCGTACATTTTCCCTGACATTCGGGCTATTTTTCAAGATGGCGGCCGACAATTTTTTTTTTTTTTTATATAAAATCAGAAATACATTTTAGCAGTGCTTTTCATGTTTTTTTTTCTTTAAAAAAAAACAACAAAAAAAAAAAAAAAAAAAAAAAAAAAAAAGGAGGCGGCCCCCCAAAAAGGAAGCAGGCGGGGACGCTGTTTTTTTTTTTTCAAAAAAAAAAAAAAATAGGAGGCGGCCCCAAAAAGGAAGCGGGCGGGGACGCTAAACATGTATATTTTTTTAATGGCCTGAAAGGCAAATAAAGTTCTTGGTGGTTTTAATTTAGACAGTCTCTGTATATCTATTTACATCCCCCCCCCCCGCCCACCTCTAGAATCCCGCGGATTTCCGCGGGTCCTGCTAGTGTAACTGTAATACGCTTAAGAAGTGTGAGTTTGCACACTGTGCATGTAATACTGTATAGGACCTTACATGTAGGCGTGTGCAGTTACCTTATTGCCATTCATTTACACATGAAGAAACAAAAATATGGTAAACGTATCTAAAACCATCATGGTTTCCCCATCATATGCGAGCGAGCCTTAACTACGCACTCCAAACATTGCAGGCAACTGACCTGTGGAGGACACACACTGTAGGATCTTTGGAAACAAGCCAACCCAGGCCCAGCAGGGAAATGCAATGATTAATTTGCCTCTCCTGTACATACTGTACATACTGTAGATGTTCATCCGTTTAATGAACACTACATGTACTTTTCAAGGAGCCTGTGTTTGAAGCCCCTTGATATTATTGTACGTGTATATTATTTTGTCATGCAGAGAAATGATCCTGTAGCACTTCTCTACATCATTCAGTGGGCCTTGACTACTACGGTAGTCAGTGTTGGTTTATACTTGCATGCACATCTTGTATTTTGTTTTCTCTCCGATTCAAGCTAATTCTTGTTTGAGTATCAATTACAGACCCCAACTACTGTGATTACATGTAGGAGTCGATAAGCATTACAGCATATGCATTTAATAATCTTTTCTCTACTTCCGGCCATTGTCGGCCATCATCAGCACAGATTCTCTCTGTAAACATGTCATACCATACAGTATGTTAATGATATTTTACATGTACATGTACAGTACATGTGGATCTTTGAAGAGATCAACAAGCCATATTTTGTTTAAATCCTAAAATACAGAAGCGCACATCAATGCAAATGCACCATGAACTTGGATACATGCCAGTTTTATTATAGATGTTAGATAACAAAGTTAGAATCTAATGACTGGTCCATAATTATATTGCATGTTTGCAGCAATAAAAAAAAATTGATTTCACAACGACAAGGCCGTGTGTACAAATACA